TTCCCTACAACATAGGAATATGAGTATATTTCTTGCCATGGACATGGCATGTCATAAAATTCTATCTTCTGTTCAAATTATAAACCAAAGAGTAGATGACTCTCAAAAGAGTCAATAGAAAAAAATCCCATGAGACTAAGAAAGTTAGTGTTACTATGTCCACAAATTGTCACCAACATGTTTATTAAGTAATCAACACCTGAATCTTCAAAAACTTGAGGAGCTGGGTTGGGGTAGAGGAGGCTACTATTCAGAAGGGTGAACTGTTCAACTACCTAAAAACATAAAGATAACAATAAACTCAATTTTCCCTGAATGAGTCCTCTTTGATACTTTTCATATCACAAGATCCTCTCTTGTTACAACATTGTTACAAAGATTAAACACAAAGATTGTTAATAGATCAGTAGAGCACTATGTGTTCTTTTTAACCACATGGCATCTGTAAAGCAGAGCGATTTCACACCCTGGCAATCCCTCCAACAGATCTTGTGCCTCAGGTTTTCTGAACCATCTTCAAAGGTTGCTTCCAAGGTGTGCTTCCTGCTATGATGTCTCCCCTCAACCCCTGTCAGCTCCTTCATACCTTGGTCCTGCCCGTTCCTGCAGGTACACCTTGCACTGACACTTAGAAGTCTGTGCTCCAATTGTCAGTGTTACCACATCAAATGGGACTTCAGAGTAATAATCTTTGATCTTTGAGTTAAATTCAGGATTTAGTTCCAAATGCGGATGTGTGAAGATCTGCTTGATATGACATTGTGCATCTTTATCTGTTTAAAAACACAAAACAATGACAGAAACACCTGTGGCATGGATAAATGTTTAAAAAATCATATATGATTAAGGTTTTTAAAATTCTTTTGAATAACTTTAGTGATCACTGCTGATTTTCCATTCCGTCCTCTGGTCATAGTTGATTTGTGGCTTCAGCTGGGTTTTCTATTTGCCAAATTTTGTAGACCTTGCCTTATATAACAGTTGTTGACTTTAGTTGATATTTTTTGCTCAGCCTTTAAAAGTTTAAAGGCACAGAAGGTCAGAAAATGTCTCTCCAGTGGATTGATAACATTTCGTAACATTTATTGCATATATCAAACAACTGTGTAAATGGCGGGGAGATGACTCTGTGGGGTGGTGACAGAAGGATACCAGCAGGGAATAAGGAAAATTTCTTGATGGGAAGTGTCATTAAACTGCCATTGGATTGATATGTAGCTTACAGGCAGGAGGGTGAAGCAAAGAATGTGAAATCCAATATCATGCCAAACACTCAGACACAAAAACATGAGACCCCCTCCATACTCCGGCCACCTTAACCTAAGAAAGTACCCTAAAGTATAATAAGTAAATGCTATCCTCTGCTCAACCCTGTTACGGAACCTAGCATATTATTTCACATAATTGATTCTGAGCCATTTAAAAAAAAGTGTTTCTATTTGATAACTCAATTTTTTGCAAAAGTATCTTAGTGAGAAAATACTAAAAACATATTTCTAGGCACATACACCAGCCACTGCTAAACTATATTGTGTTCATATTTGAAATAAACAAATTACTCAAAAGCAAATGTTTTTCAAAGAAATATTAACAAGTATTTTGTGCCAGAAATACTTTTCAATAGTAAACAAAATTCCAGTAAAGGTAAACATAGGAAATTCTATAAAAACCAGTAAAATGAAAATGTCTTCTGTTGCCTTCAAATAAGATGTTCAATGATGTTTAACACAGCGACAAAAGGATAACACCAAATTTGCCACAGGAAGCTATACACCTGCACTTAAAGAAAAGTCGATTATCCTGTTAACTGCTGTCTCTTCCTCTATTGTTACAGAGCTATCACAACGATTTTTCTAAAATCACATCTGATGATTTGGCTTCAGTTCTTTAACAGTTTCTCATCACTGCCAGAATCTAGGCCAAGCTCCCAATAAAGCTTACAAGGCATCTCATAACCACTTCCTTGGTTCTCCTTCCCATCTCCCATCACATCCTGGACTTTGTGATTCAACAATACCAAAAGTTTTATATTTCTTTGCCAGACACGGAGACAGATGCATCACCAAATCCATGGCAATGAATACCACCAACTTTATAGGTGTTTCATTCTAGTTCTGAGATCTAGGTGTCAGTTTAATTCCCATTGTGTCCTAAAATAATGAAAGTGAATAAATGTGTGTATTTCTGACCCACATTCTACGAGAGTTTTCTCAGCTGGTCAAAGAAAAAACTACTCTGGTACAAACTAGGAACAATAATAATAAAATAGACATATTGTAATTTCATTGCAGGGAGAAGTCAATAAAAATTAGTCAGTTTGGTTGGATAACTCAATGAATTGGGTAAATACCTGCTTGGTTGATTTTGTTACGAAAGATTCTATGTGGGTGACAGATGTAGGTGAACTTCATCTATAATTTCAATAATCCTACAAGCTCATAGATTTTTTTATAATAAAAGAGAAAATAATGAAAGAATAAGGGTGAGACTGTATTAGATTTAACCTTGAAAAGGACCATAGCTTTCCATTTGAATTCAACTACTTATTAATAACACATTCATTTTTTCATCAAAGATTTTTTTTTTCTGGCATAGTCTATGTTCAAGGCACTGAGATAAGCACAGTAAAAACAGGTTATTTTTGGTCATGAGATCTGATTCAAATGGAGACTGTGAACCCAATCTAACACTTTAAACAAGCTGGAGTTCAGGGATATGGAATGTGCTTTCAAAAGCACCATTTCTTAGGCAGAAAGGGAATATAAATACGTGCGCTACACTTTTATGCTCAGAACCAGTTAGATGAATAACAGTGGAAGATTTTTTTCAAAATAGTAATCATAGGAAATGTATTGATACTTTAACTTTATATATTTTTATAAAATAGTCACTGAGTTAATTTCCTCGCAGTTTATACTTTCACTTAATAGTGAACATTTTCAATGGGGCCTGCCCATTACAACACTGAAACTCAGCCCCAAATGAAAGAAAATGTGTAATCATTCTCTTAAGCAAGATTTTAGCAAGTGCTTGTTTTTGGTTTCATCAGAAACTCTTCACCTCTGGCTTATGTACTGCATCCTAGACCCCTGCTTGAAAGCTGATTTTGTCCTGACATCATCTTCAACTGAATCATCAGTGGTGCTGCCTGCAAACACCTGGTGCTTCCTTGGCATCCTTCCCAATCCAGTCCCAACTTGTCTCAGGCCAGCTTACTTTAGCTCTGCAGAGAACCCACTGTGAGGTAAGGTGGTAGCAGGCTGCTTAACGTATTTCACAAGTATATATGGGAAAGCTGTTTGAAGTCTTGGTTGCTTTTAATGGATTTCTTTTAACCGCAGAATTTTGTTGCCCTCTTGAGGGATAATCATAACTCATATTAAACACAAAAACAGCCTAGACACTGAAAGATAATCCCACTTGTTCTAAGGCATCAAGTTATTTTTTAAAATCTTATACCATAAAAATAGGAAGATTAACTTTGAAGACCCAGTTTTTAATCAACATAAAAATATGAAAAGTTGAAGAGCTTATTTAACGTGTTTGTATCCTCTACCCTATGCTACCTGAAAACTAAAAAAAAAAAAAAAAAAAAAAGAGAGATTAATTTGTACAATCGTTCCTCTCATAAATGAGAAAACAAAAGACCAAAGAGGTGAAGTGGCTTTCCTGATCTAACCCAGAACCTGGCACACTAGACCCTCAACAAATGTTCATTCTAACCTTGCTCCTAGTTTTCTCAAAACTAGTCCTTTTCTCACCACACACTGGGTACCAGTCTCCCAAGAGAACTGAGTAGCATGTATTTTTCTAGAAGTGGGAGATTGGATGATAAATGCAGGGAGGGAATAGCGTAAGTATATCTGTTACTTTTTCCTCATCAGCAGTACTTTATTCAAAATGCTATTTTTTTTAATTGGATGTATTTGTTGATTCTATTAAACCACATTACTGTATCACCTCTCAACCTACCATGATTTTAATGATAGCGTTAAAACACGGTGAATGAATTAAATTGCATTTTAGAAGAGACAAATTAGATTTATTAAATTGGAAGACTTCTATTTATCATAAATTAGATCGTAGTCCATAAATTTTATTGTTTTCACTTTTAATGTTTTATCAGAATAGATTTTTTTGTGAAAGGCTAAATTTTCTGTGTATGTTTCAGCACCAATTATATATATATATACACATATATATGTTAAAAACATAAACACTGCCAAAAAACAAACCTGATAAATAGAATTCTTATTTTTCTATCATATTATTATAGGATATTAAGATAATACATGAGCCTTGGACAAAGAATCCGAAGACCAAGTTTCATGATCCAGCTCATGCATTTAATAGCACTGTGATCTTGGAAAAGTCAGTAAGATTCCCTAGAATGATATATTTGCAAGACCACTGGAATAATACTGACCAGAGTGAAGAAAATTATTTAAAATTTAAAAAATCTATGTAATACTTAAAATGTATTACTATTGTATATGTATTTATATTACTGATTATACCTTGGTAAAAAAAATTCATGAATTTTAAGAAAAGAAATTGAAATTTGGCTTAAAAACTCTCACTTGTGGGGCTTCCCTGGTGGTGCAGTGGTTGAGAGTCCGCCTGCTGAGGCAGGGGACACGGGTTCGTGCCCTGGTCCGGGAAGATCCCACATGCCGCAGAGCGGCTGGGCCCGTGAGCCATGGCCGCTGACCCTGTGCGTACAGAGCCTGTGCTCCGCAAACGGGAGAGGCCACAACAGTGAGAGGCGCGCGTACCACAAAAACAAACAAGCAAACAAACAAAACAAACTCTCAATTGTTATAAAGAAAACTCAGATCAAGTACTATCCATTATATCAACAATCTGGGAGAAAAGGATCACTGTTGGGTGGTGAGAGTCCTAAAAATCAATATATATAGAGGAGATGCCAAGCTCTTCCATTTGAGAGTCCCCAAGGCAAAGCATTAGCACCGTTAGGGCCCCTCAAAATAAGTTTGGAAGTTACTGTCTTTAAATATAAAAACATAATATTTGATTTTCAAAAATGGAAAATTAAAAATCTTTTTATACAAAAGTAGCAAACATGAACTATTTCAGAAATCTCATAACTTCTGAAAATTTACATAAAATACATTATCAGCCTAAAGATGCCCCAATATGATGATTTATTCAACCTAACTGTTGATTATGATTCTGAAGCACTTTCATTGGAACTCACCATTAATGCAATGTATTTCTTTGGTTTCATTAATAATTTGTGGAACTGCAGCTAAAAAAAAGAAATGTAAATTAAAAAATGAAACTTTTTTTTAAAATCAAAATAAAAAGAATACATATTCAGGTATCTGAAACTCAGGATAATTTAATAAAACACATATTTTATTATTTAATTTTTATTACATCAGAAAGCACTTCTAAGTTAAACTGAAAGCTAGAGTAAAACAAAAGAAGCTATTTGGTTCAAATTGCAGAGAAATGATTATTTCAAATAAGAAAATATTAAGGGAGAAAAATGAATGGTCTAAATGCCATCTATTGCTTGAAGTTGATCTATCAGAATTCCTCTAGTTCTATGATCTTACGGCTATAATTTCTTAAATCATTAGAATTACATAAATTCCATCCAGTTGGTTCCACTGATATTTACTTCGTTTCTAAATTCAACTAAACATTGATCTAAAAAACTCCTTAATAAATACCAATGGGACAAACGAGTGAATAAAAACAGAGTGCTTAAAGAAATCATTTAGAGAGGAAAAAAATGGTGGGAGAGACAATCAGAACAGCAGTTTAACATCAGTTCTTCCCTGACCTTATTGATTCATTTTATTATCAAACTTTAGCATGCCTCAGAATCATCTGAAGGGCTTGTTAAAATAAAGAATACTGGGCCTTATATCCAGAGATTCTGATTCAGTGGATCTGAATTTTCCAAGCTTCCCAGATGATGCTGATGCTGTTGGTTTAGGGGCTACACACCCAGAACCACCACATTGGATTAAACCTTGATTTGTAGTAGGAAAACTTCGATTTAAAAAAAAAAAAATGTAGACACATGTACTTCTTTTCATTTTTTCTTCCAAAAATTAGAAACATTTTCTTTTCATGTGACATAAAGCTCAGATGTTCTTTAGAAGGAAAAAAACTGAAAATTGAGATAAGCTTAAGAGAGAAAATCAAAATCACCATTAATTTTCCTTAAGGTCCATATTGCTTGTAGCCAATTGTTTCATTTAATAATATATCTTAAACATCTTTAATGTATAACTATTTTCCCACAATATTAGAATGGCTTTATAGTAATTTATTGGATGACTATAGCTTAATCCAATCCACTATGATTGCAATAATGGTAGTTGTTATTTTTTTCATTTATTAGTAATTTATGTAATTAAATTTTTGTGTACATTCCTAATTATTTCCTTAAAATGAATATCTGGAAGTGAAATTTCTGGTATGTAAGAATAACTTTTAAAGCTTTTCTTACATGTTGTTAAATGGCCCCTTAAGAAAGATTGTTCTAATTTATACACCCACCAGCAACATGAGAATACTCATTTTCCTACACTCTTCCCAACTCTATTATCTTAAAGAGGAAAAATCTTTCCAAATTTGAGGGAAAACAGCATTTTCCAGTTTAATTTTCATTTTTGATTGCTAATAAAGCTAAACATTTTTTATGTTTTTGGCAACACAATACTTGTTTTCCATGTAGAAAGAAGTGGGACTACATCCTTTACCTTTTTTATTTTCAATTGCATTAAATGGTACTTGTGGTTTTTTCATGTTCTCATCCTCTGCGAAAGAATTCCTGTGAATGCAATATCAAACATCTCTGGATCAACGCACTGAACAAAATTCATGGAAATTACATCTAACACACTATCTTTTTTCCTATGAGCACAGTTATTTTGATGAACACAAAGAAAAACTTTCTGGATTTCATTCCTCAAAACTGGCAATCTTGTCTCAAGTGAGGTGGATGGAAATCTCATCATCTTTAATCAGCAGAAGCACATTTGAAGAAAACCAGGGCAAAAAGTCACTCTTTGGTCCAAAAGGGAACAATCTCTGATAGCCTAGGTCCAACAGAAGTGATTCAGAAACACACATTCCTATTGGAATCTGTTTGGCCAAAATTACAAAGTCTTGAAGCAAGAAGCCTTGGAAACTCTGAGACACAGACTGAGAAGAACATCCATATAATCTAAGAAATTGAAGCGTACCATGCAGAAAGTGACCTGTCCTGCCAAGGATTCTGTCCTTAGACTCTGATGAACAGGAATGAATTTTAAGGGTTAGTTATATCTTGGTGTGTTTGCCTCATTTTTCTGTTGTATAATTAAATGCTCAGCCAGATTGGCCTTTAAATCCTCAAATTTGGGACCAAAGTAATCTTAAGTTGCAGACAGAAAAATTGCTGGCCCTGATGATAGAGAATACTGGACAGGATGTGACTTCACTTTACTGTGCTGGGTTGTGAGGCTCCATTTCTACTCCAGAGAAACAGAGATAACAACACTGGCCTTACTTCACAAGGATGCTATGAAGATTCAATCAAACGCTCTGTGTTAAATTACATTTTATAAAGATTTATTGTTCCAGATATTGTACTGTACTAGTAGAGATGAATAAGGCATTTTCAATTCCCTTAAAATATATAAGCATCAGATAGGAAATTAAGAAGCATCAAGGAACTAAAACTATAGTTAATGTTGGGAGGTGTGATAATTTTATTGCAGTTTTATTTTTAAAGTCTTTTTTTTCCCTTTAGTATATGCAATGATGTAATCTGGGGTGAAAAATTATGATGTCTAGGACTTTAAAATAACTTTCCTCCTCCGAGGAATGAAGAAATAGATAAAGCAAGCATGGGGTGAGATACGTTTACCTGAAGTTTGAGTGCCAGGCCAAGGTAAAAAAAAAAATCTCTGATTTCATATCAAGTAAACACTCTAAACAAAGCTCATAAAAGATACAACCCTGAAATGCATGTAAACTGAATTTTAGAAATGTTACTGTCTTAATGGAATGGGATGCTTTGTATGTTTACTCATCCTGCAAGTGATTTCTTGTGTAATTTTGTGAATAACTTATTTGTTTTGACAATGTGTATTTTCATGGAAAGCATGTGATTAGAGCAAATTACACTTGCTACTTTATTTCCAGTAAAGTGAAAATTAGCAGAGAGTACACACACATTGATTTTAGTGTTTTCATTCTGTTAAGATTTCCACTAATTCTGTTGGGACCTCTGGATTCTGAGCCTCAGGGCACAGACATAAGTGTCACTTTTTCTAAATGTTGCTTTTTTGACTTTATTTCTCCTCACCTTGTTGCTATAAGCAGATGGTCTTTATTTAAAAGGGTGGAGGAAGGCATTAAACCTCACAGATAGTACAGGTATGTAAAATTGGCTTTTTTGGTATGAAAAACTGGAGAAGACCATTGTGAAGATAAGGGCAATTATGAATGACTACACGTGATCTTCCTGTCAGCATGAGGTCTTGGTGTAAAGCACTGGACCACGGGCAAGAGGCCAGGGCCCTAGTCTCAACTCAAGTAGCTGCGTGGCTTAGGCAAATAATCCATCTTCTCAGCACCTCAGTTTCCTCAACTGGAAAATGTGTATCATATGCATCCTCTTTGTAATACAGCATGAATGATAATTAAATATATATACATTCACTGGTAAACCTGAAGATAATTAGAATTGAGTATTCTTTCTTAAAATGTTCTAGAAACAATTTATATAATTGTTTCTTGATAAAGACTTCAAGTTTACTTATCTTAGTGTTAACTTAGATAAAGCTTTCATACTTATCTTGATTTTCCTATAAATGTAAGAAAAATATATACCCCATTTGTCGATGCTGAAGTGACTTTTGGGTGATATAGGAACAGGAAACCGAAAGTATATTAATATTTACTACCTATCTGCTCTGCAGCACACCACACACTATGCAATACATGATGGAGGTTATCTTATGCAATCTTGAAACAATACTTGGTAGGTGGTATAATCCATATTTTACAGGTATGGAAACTGAGACTCAGAGGAAAATCTTACCTGCTGGAATTAATAAACTCTAGAGTTGGGATTTTTGAATCCAAGCCTGTCCGATTCAAAAAGGTCCTGACTTTTTCTAACTATATTTAACATGACCTTTAGTAAATTTCATTGTTGGAAGGAATCAGTTAGGGTTAGAATTAGGCTTAAATTCAACATTCTGAATTTAAGTCAATTGCTTAACCTTATGACAAATGTGGACCTTGAGACAAATTTTGGGAAGAAACTTTCCAAAGCTTGCATATCTCAAGGGAACTTACCCAAAGTTAAAAACCATACTTAAATAGACTCCTTGTAAATCAAGTTTGCTCTTCCCTCATCGACAACGGCGAAAGAGACAGTCTTGGATTGAGTGAGTGCAAAGAACAAACAAAGGGACAGTAGGCTGTATTATTTAAAACCTAATTTTCAAACAAACAAACAAAACCTTCTATCAATCCTATTATTTCGGAGTATTGAGGGAATAAGGCCAACTGCATAAAGATGTGGCGATTAAAGTGAGTTCTGGTCCTGGGAGATGTCCTATGAATTCTTTGAATATGTGATTACTTGTATTTTTGAACTATTAAAAAAATGTTTCTTATGGGACTGTTTTCACTGCCTCCTGAGGCAGAAAGAAATGAAGGACAAGTCAGTAGAATTGAGGCCGTTCTTGAGGGTAACTTCAGAGACACGGATGATCATGCACGGCCATCTAGTCTTTCATTCCCTTGGGAGGTTAGGTTTACTTCTGTTTTCCTGGCAACAGACAAGTCAAATACTCACTTAATTCTATCATATAAAAGGGAAGCAGACTTAGCTGGCACCATAGGCACTGCCCCTTCCCCAGGCAACTGGGGGTGTTACTATGTTCTCTGGCCCAGCAACCCTCTTATTCACTCATTACTACCCCTCATTAGAATGGAAGTGGACATAGAAGGCCAAGGACCTTTTCTCCAAGCCGAATGCTTCTCTCTGAGATTCCATCTTCTAAAAAAAAAGTTCTAATCTTGCGGTAGAGACAGACATATTTATAAATTTGGATAGGTTTTGCCTAGAATAAAGTCATGCCTCAAAAACTCCAAATGAATGCTCATACCGTCTCGGGCTCCACTCTGACTGATGGTTCATAAAACAAATCTCACCTAATTCTTTCTGTCTGATGCTCCCATAATTCAAGGATATATATCACAGGATGAAACTAGCTTGAAACTTTTAATTTTAAACATGACTTTTGAATGGAGTCAAGTCCTGATGGTTTGAAAAACTGTTGGATATACTTTTGTTACAGTGTTTGAAGACCACTAGAATCATTATGGTTTCAATGTTTTAAAGAAGCTTATTTTCCAGAGCATGAATTTTTGGACACACTTCTTTTTGTTGCTTTCTTTAATGTAGGCAATGCCTTTTGAAATCAATCTTTAGAGATTTTTGGGGTTGCACAATTCAAATTTGTGGCTCTCTTACCATTCCAGCGGGTGTGGCTGTGCCTTTTTATTCAGGAGCTGAAATTGTTCGAATACATTTAAAAGAGACCAGTATTGGGTCAGGATGGAACCAGGTTTCCCCACAGGATTTGCTGTATCATAAAATTCACGCATCAAAGATTGAAACCCAGGAGTAGTAGATGGGAAGAGCTGAGAAGGAATATTCGAAAGCAGAATATCAGAATAAGTTATGGAAAATAAAATGTAGTATTACTAGGAAAGGCCTTATATTTATTTATTCAGATATTTTAAAAATCAGATATTTATTTAAAATCCATTATCTATACCATAATTTAATTTTCTGTGTTGCTGTCAAGGTAAATGCCACTTTTTATAAGGAGCTAATTTTGCTGATGTTTATACTTTCAAATGGGGTGAATTTTATTTCTCTTTTCATTGAAAGGAAATGGATATCTGCTTTCTATAGATACCTGAAAACAGGTGAATAACAGAGTGAGTCAGGTAGCAGGAAAAATGAGGAGAGATTCTCTTGGGTTACAAGTGCCTTACAAATCTCAGGGTGAGAGATATTAATCCTACCCCCAAAAAATCTACGGTTATCCTCTTTCTACTCTGAGAGTCAGGAAATTAGTGTCTGCCCTTTCTCCTACAAAATAATTCTTCTTTTCTTCACATTGTGCCAAGAGATGTTCTTTACTTTCACAATATCTTAAATTGAAGATATTGAAGGATGAAGGATGAAGCCAGGTCTCTGATTATCTTTGTACAGTATTGACCCAAACTGTCATGAATGTAATACTTACTATATTTAAATTAATTAAAATAACCCATCAATTACGTTATCTTTGGAGTAATAAGCTTACTTCGAACCCTCTAAAATATGGAGCTAAATTATAAAAACAAGTGTCAAACCTTCACTAATTAATTTAGTAAGTTGGTTATAACTCATACAAGTAGCATCTGAATACACAGATTATTTTAAGTAAAAAATAAATATTTTATTCAAACAGATTAATAATAAATTATTAGTAGACTTTTTAAAATGCTATTTTAAAGAGATATTTTGTATAAACAAATCTTAGGTAGAAAAATATGAATCCAATATAATTTACCTATATAAGAGCAGAACTGGAAACAAAGCAAGTACTGAGCATGCACATGTATATGTAATAAATTATCCTTTGATATTGATCAATAACTTAACAGAATCCAGGAAAATACATAGAAAACAAAATAAATGCCATTTATATTTTTGGGCTGAGAATCCAGGAAAATACATAGAAAACAAAATAAATGCCATATATATTTTTTGGCTGAAACCAGTAAAAGTTATTATAATAATTTACATTTTCTTTCTTTGGATTTTGCTATAGAGCTACAACAAATTAAGATTTAGGTAGTTTTAAAAAATATTATTGTTCTATTGAGTAATATTTACTTTTACACAAACAAAAAAGGCATAATAAACAGAAGGAAATTTTGGTTACATGTAAATGTCCCAAGGCTAAAAGCAAACTTTTTTGGAAAAATGTTAGCATTTTCCCCTTAAGAACTATCAAATCCTGCCAGCTATACTAATTCCATATTCTTTCACCTTTAGTAAGTCATGTATTATCTGCAAACTCTTAAAGAATATGCATTCTGCTCATCTTAATATTTATATCTCTGTAAAGAAGAAGCTTACAAAGATTTCTATTCCTTAAAGAAATATCTTCACCTAGTTTTAAGTCAAAATCAAGTCTCTTATGGCTGATCTACAGTAATCTCAGTAATCAAGAGGAATCAAAGGTCACTTTTGTTTTACCAGTTGGAATTGTCCCAAACTCCTGAGTTCCTTTATGAAAGTCATAATTGAGTTAATCTCCTCTAAAGATAGGCATTGATTTAGTTCTTTTTGATAGTTTTCACCCTATAATGGGGGGGAAAAATACAACTCTTAAGCAATTGCTACAAAGTCAAACCATGTTTAACACAATTCAAGAACCAAATTTTAAACTCTATAAACAGCTGGGCTAATTAATTCTAAATAATACATAATAACTTTAACTTGCCAAAATGATGTCAGAATATAAGAAAGCTTCATATTTGACAAAAGGACCTGAAATAGCTCAGTAAGTACTACTTTGGTAGTAAGGTTGGGAAATTGGGCCCAGAAGGACAGAATGAGTGTGACAGTTTGGAAATGCAGGAAAAGTCTTTTTTTAGTCTTCAGGGTACAAAAGACCAGAGCAGCAAATTTACACGTGAACCTCATGTATGGGACATTACCATTTTCGAGTTTCATGGATTCTAGTAAACAGACTCACCCTCCCATTTTCCTCACATTCATTTTTCATTATAATGCATCCCTTAGAGCAAAAGATACACATATTACCATTCCCTCTGGGTCAAATGGTTCTAATGGTTTTAAAGGCAATCCACTCACTAAGGAAGGGAAACAGGGAACTCTAGAAGAAATCAATAAAATCATAGGGAAACAACAGTCTATAATGTCATCTCTCTCAAAACCATCTCTCTGTAGAGCGTTGCTTCTTGGTGAGACCCTTCACATTCTACTTTTCCAAATTTTCCAATTATGGTTTTAAAACTGAAAGATACATAGAAAACAATACTGTACCTAGTAACCTGTACAGATTTTTTTATGCATCAAGAAAACTTGTACTGAGAGATCATAAAAATTAACCAGTCTTACTCTGAAGCACTACTCCCTAATCATCAGCATCTATCTAACCAAAGACGTTAACCAGATGTGAATGCTTAAAAAACAGTTAGTATTATAACTCTAGTCCCTTGATGTTAATCTAGAGCACTCACGGCTATTCTAACTGCCTCTAAAAGGTTCAGGTATTCCTTTTAAAGTATTTTATAATATGTAATATGTATTACTCATTATAACCACAAATTTTCCCTGGGAATTAGGGACTGCTTTACTTCATTTTCAACCCATAATTTCATCATATTCAGTCAGTCACATACTTAGGAGACATAAAATAATATTGGTCCTTAGGTCGGAAAAATATTAAGAAGTTTATATAATGGATACAAATCAATTTCAAATGAATTATCACGTTGCTTACCTGCACGGTAAAGAAAATGGCACCTTCCAAAAATGAAATAAATATTTGTCAGTACAAAAATATGCACTTACCTTAAATATACCTGATCTATAAAGTCTCTGAAGTATCTCAGAAAATATGGAAAGTGAAGATTCATTGGACAGGAGAAAATTGAAAGTGTCTTTTAAAAGGAATTCTTCTGTGTTTTGGTCCTCAAAATCCATATTATCATCATCTTGAAAATTTAAATGCTCATGCACCTGTGAAAGAGTAAAAGCACAGCAAATATTTTTCATTGACTTACTTTTAATGCAGTGAAATCACTTCTAAGACCTGATTCATTTCCCGTTGGATCATAGATCAGAACTGACATCTAGTGGTCCTTTTGGAGGTCAACAGTTTTATAAAATCTAAGTAATGCTCTTTTGAAAATATGATTCTTTATAAGAACATTAACTGTTTTGTAAAACCAAATTAGTTTGTCCTGAACTTCTTCATTGTTGAAGACCTTATGTTTATGGAAATGACATTTCTGAACAATAAATTTTAAAAATCATAATATAAACTATTATATATGTGTGTAAAATAATGAATAAATGACCATTAGAAGATGTAGATTCATAAAATTTCAAAATTTTAGAGATAAATCTTTGAACTACTCAGCCAAATGTCTGAGCCATATATAATGTAATCATTCTCCTTGTGTAATAGTTTGAAAACCAGTCATTACAGTATGAAGTCAAACTCTGGTTGCACATAATTTTATGTTGTTTCTCTTCATTTCTTCTCATCCCATATCCCAAGATAGCTTTCTATAGACTAATACAATCAATTTTAAAATCTTCTTGCCACTAAGGGCTATTTTAGGATTAAAAATATGCTGGAGGAGATGATCTGAATGAGTTAATTTAATTTAAGAGGAAGTAAAAGAATCAGAGTGTACAAAAAACACTCTTAAATTTCCATATATTTATACAAATATTGAAAACAAATATTTCAAAAATTCCTATGGCTTTTTAAATTAAAATATAAGCCAGTTTTAAACTAAATGTCTATATGTAAAGAATAAAAGAGTTACCTTTTTTATAAACCCATACGAATAAGCTAGGTTACCTGCTATTTTCTATTATCTAAATGTCTGTTTTCCTGCATTAACACATACTTAGCTTTATTCCACATTTATTTCAAAAATAGTGGTTGAACCACAAAAAAATCCATATTTGTTCAACAGGGATGCAGAGTGGGTATTGTAACTCAAATCAGAGACTCTCCATATGCTAGTTAATTCTCTGAACCACAGTAAATATAAGTCTGTAGTAAGTTTGACGCAAGTTGCACTTATTGATCAGTTACTATGAATGAACACACCACCACCACCACCACCACCACCACCACCACCACCACCACACACACACACACACACACACACACACACTTCAGCCAAAGGGGAAGATCCCATGAGGACTCTGGCATACTCACCTGGAGCACTACAGGGGACCTGCCGCTGCCATAACCAATATCAAAAGTTAAAAGCTGAAAACATAATCTGCATCTGAAATAAAAACACAAGGTAACAAAAATACATTCTATTTGCTGTATTTACTCTATTATTTGATACTATATCATTACTAATCACTAAGGTTAAATTTCAAGGTCCATACTAATTACAAAGAGCAGTGGCTTGGATAATCCAAAATTGAATACAAATTATCTTTGGATTTGGAATCTGTTTCGTTCCTTACAGAAAATACAAATATGTCTAAAGTATTCATAATACATTAAACGAAACAATGAAGTGACTCCATAAAAACGTAATATGGAAAAGGAAGCTCTCCTACTCCTCCGTGCTAGGCAATCTTATTCGCATATAAAGCATGATAAAGCTTACATGGGGGCACCTCCTTTTTTGACATACTCGATTTAACATTTCCCTAGAAAAAGACATTAAATTATACTCAAGTAAACTGAGATATGGAGATAAGAGTTAATGAATTTTGTTAATAAAAATCTATAAATAAAAATATACCTAGTCAATGGAAAGCATATATGATAAAAATAACTGAGCTTGGAAGGGGCTGCAATTAAAAAGATAATTTAAATAACTGTGCCTTATTTCTTGTCACCACTATTTAAATACTGGTGAGTCTCTAACATGCTCTGAAGTTTTAGGATCAACAAATTAGAAAACATAAGTTTAGAAGTTCATATTTTACACTGATATAAAATTTTCTAAGTAGCACCTACTTGTGATAATTAAGATATATTTTCACTAACAATCAGTTGTTAGAAGTAGGGGTTGTTTTTTTTTTTTTTTAACATCGAAATTTGTTTTTACCTATGGAAGACCTTTGGTCCCAGAGTAGATGTTTCACTGAATACTTCAGCTGCTAGCAGGAGTTTGCTAATTGCTTCCTTCATGTTATCAAAAGCCTGAAGAGGTGAACTTGTTCTCAGGAACGTCTCAAAAAATGTTTGCAGCTGTGAACAAAATAAAGCATTCACATGTTGAAACTACAATCTCAATTTGTCTCTCTCTCATTTCCAAAGTGAACAATGTGAAAGATCCCTTCAGGCTATCTCTCCTTGACACACACAAAAAATTCCTTAAAAAGGAAAATATGATCATCTAAGACATATATACATACATATATATATTTTATATATACATATATATGTAAAATATACTGAAAGAGTATATAATATACTTAAGGTATATTATATAATAAATATATATTATCACGTAATATATAATGTATATATATTCTATACATTTAAAAATACAAGCCTTCTGGGGCTTCCCTGGTGGCGCAGTGGCGGAGAATCTGCCTGCCAATGCAGGGGACACGGGTTCGAGCCCTGGTCTGGGAAGATCCCACGTGCCGCGGAACAACTGGGCCCGTGAGCCACAATTACTGAGCCTGCGCGTCTGGAGCCTGTGCTCCGCAACAAGAGAGGCCGCGATAGTGAGAAGCCCGCGCACCGCGATGAAGAGCGGCCCCCGCTTGCCACAACTAGAGAAAGCCCTCGCACGGAAACGAAGACCCAACACAGCCATAAATAAATAAATAAATAAAGCAAACTGTCAACAAGTAAAAATAAAATAAACACTATAAAAAAAAAAAAAAAAAACACTTACTTTCCTTGGGTCTTTGTTTAAAAAAAAAAAAAAAAATACAAGCCTTCCGACTGAATGTGGGGTACCAAAACATCCTGTAATTTAAATTACTTTAGAGGTGCTTACTCCATTTTTCTTCTCATTCCACGGCTCATAATCATGGAAAGTGAAGGGGAACTCACAGAGCTTGTGATCAGAACTGCCAAGTTTATTTTGTGACTCCTCTACCTAGGAGAACTTGGACTTGCAACTCACTTCTCTGAATTTTTGTGTCCTTTTCTTTAAAAGGGGTTACTACCTACCAACAAGAGAGTTGTGAGGCCAAATTACAAGAAAGTCACTGTAAAGTATGAAATTCAAATCTAAGCTTTTTATTATTATCCCTTTCCTGCATATATCAGAACAAAAAGAACTATATCGAAATTGCTTCTTCTTCACGCTGTTTTGCTGTGAGAGCTCTAGCCAACCACAGAAGAATCTAAGAGAATCTCAGTGTCCTCCTAACATGTTAATTTCAGGCTTCATGTGGCTAGAGAGAATGGGGCCGTATTACAAAAAGGGGCAGGATGTTAGGTTTATGTCTTCATAAAAACACTATAGTTGGTATCACAAAGAGCTATTTTTATTTGCTTAAATATGAAAACAATCACAACAACAAAACTATATCTTGAGGATGCTTAACACCAAAGCTCAAGTCAAACTTTCTAAAAAGTATAAAACAGACCTCATATTGATTCATAAACTTTCTCTGGATAAACATACGCTTTCAAAAATGAAGAACAAAAAATATTTTTTGAAAAAACATGCAGCAGGTATACTATTAATATTTTTGGAAGAACAAACTAAATTTATCTGAGCTGCGTAAGACTGCAAAGTGCAAAACTTTAGTTGCTATAATAATGAAGGACAGATATTGGCACAAATCACCTGAGGGAGACGGTAAATGTATCTTTAAGATACGCAAGCAAAATTCACCCAAGAGAAACAAATGCTGACTTCATAAACTCTTCCCAGCTGAAAAACAGAAACCTAATGAGATGTACACCTTAAGACCCTATAAACACATCATTAGCATTTGGCAGTTGGGGTGTTTTTCCCTCTCTAAGGACTAAGGAAAATGAATGTAATAACTGTATGATCAAAAGAAAATAAATCAAAGCTAACACTAAAAATATTAACACCCTTGAGTCAAAACAGAGTCACATGTTTTTCCAAATAAAAGTAACTCATCACATTTCACTCACTTCACCATATTATATAGAAAGGGCTATTATTGCATTTTTCCATTTTAATGTTTTCTGAATATCACAGGGTTCAAGGTTAATAATTTAAGAAAGCTGGAAATGTTTGTGTAGCACATAGGATATATAAGATTTATTATCAAATTATATCCTCCATGGTAAAAAATAATTAGCAAATTACTGCTTAGGATTGTATTTATTCTTCTACTGTGGAAATGTGTATTTCTTAATTTTTGACTGTAATTAATTTTTCACCATGTGGAAAGCACTGTGTGCTGGGTTTTGGGGGACAAGGTACATAGCATGGTGGTAACTCTATAGACTTTAGAGGCTGAAAGTCACAGTTTCGACTTTGGTTCTCCTGTTACTACTAAATTGTGAGACCTTGCGGGATTACTAACAGTAACTTTATGGAGGTATTGCTAGGATTAAATCAGAGAATGTACATAAGGTACACCACCACCCATCACACATCAATATTTAGTACACGTTAGCGCCTTTTATTAATTAAAACAAAAGTCCACAGCCTTCCTTCAATCAAGGAAGAACATTTAAAAAATATATGATAAGCCTTTCAATAGAAATATATTTAAAAGGGAGAAGAAAGAGGCATGGTGGGTAAATAGACCCCATCACTGGTATGTCTCCCAGCAGAAGTGAAAGAGAACTGAAGGACCAAAATAACTTTCCTCCCACTTCCCTAAAACTCAGCCTGCCAAGAGAAGGACCAACGTCAACCACCAATCATGAAAGCAGGGGGACAAGAAGCTAGACAGCTGCCATTACAAACAGAAATGTGAAGAGAGGAGATAGAAATGGCATTTAAAAGGCACAATTCAAAACAGAGAGACTTCCTCATTTTTGTATTCGTTCTGTTACCAATCTTTGTCTCTATATGCATTTCCTTCTATCTCACTGCATGCATTTCCATTTATTTAAGTCCTTCAAGACAAAGAAAATTCTAGATGAGTCATCTCTTTATTTAGTACAGTGGCAAGCAAACTACATATGCCAGAAGTGAAAGTAGAATCATGCAAATGCTTACTATTTTTTTTTAATCATCAACTTTCAATAAGTCGCCCAGAGAGGGCAGAATACTTATATCAATTTTTGAAACTAATCCACTTAGGCTAAGTGGCAGACTTCTTTGACTGTCTGCTCATATTGTAATTTGTTAAACTAATTGTATTTCCTTGGTCAAATACTTGAGTTCTGTGCATCTCAATGTGCTCGCACGTAGAAAGAGAGAAATGTGCTTGATGATTTCATGAGACAATGTCAAATCTGAAATTATTTGATAGTAATTCCATTCAAAGCTATCAGAACCCAAAATACACTTTTCACTCAGGAGCTTTCTTAACCCAAACACAAATATCTGAAAGAACACCTTCACTTTTGTAAGTTAAAATCAGCCGTGAACTCAAATATCACGGAGACTTCTCTGTCTCTAGATCAAGACGTTTAATCGATGCTTTTGAATTACCTAAACATGAGAATATAAGATCCCAAGGAAATCAGTACCTTGGCAGTAAGGTAAAAATGAATAAAAGAAGATCTTAAAACATTTAACATGACATGAAACTATTTTATGAACTATAAATTTTCCTCCTTCTGTACAAAAATGGAACACAAATTTAGTGCAAAATAAATTATGTAGAAAATGACCTTGTAAGATCACGGCTGTAAAACCAGGCAGTTAAAGCATCACCATTTGTTTGTACTTGTGTAAAATTCAAGCAATAACCCAGTAAGGTATTTGTAATTTCCACATCTAGCCATTGAAATATACATAGATGGGTCAAAATTATCAACTAAAAATAGAAGGACAAGAGGGACTAAGGATGAACTTCAAAATATTTGTAGGAAAACTTCAGTTATGTTTTTAATATCTTAAAATATTTCTAAATTGCCCTTATATTCACCTCATTCCCCCACCCCACCTCTCACAAACCCCTCCCGTGCTAAATTCTGGGCTTCACCTGATTAATTTCCTTTATCCTCCCATAGGACCTTAGGCAGATGGTTCTCAGTGGCAAAGCATGTTGTTCTGTGTTAAACTTGCTGACTTTCTTGTTTGCTCTCACCATTAGACCATAAGATTTTTTAGGGCAGATACTGTACCATTTTATCTTTGGGTGGCCAGTATCTAACACAGGGTAGGTATTAAGTAAACACTGTTGAGTAACTAAACCTAAGTATAACATTACAGAAACCACAGAGACTTTGATAAGAGAAATAGTTTACTGGAGTTTCTGGATAACATAAATTTTCTCCTTAGGACAACATGTTTATCTCTCGTTTCCATCTCGTGAGCGAGGGAGGATGAGCATTTTTCTGGTGACTTGTAATAAAACCTTTGAAAAATAGAAGCTCACAGCTGTTCAGGAGAATTTTTGTGATAAGAAAAATATAACACAAGAGTTAAAACACAGGATGAAAGATTAACCAATATTAGAGTTTTTTTAAAGTCATGTTCTTGACTAACTGAGAAGCTATAGCAGAATACTGATATTTCAATATTTTGAATTTTCAGTAGTATTTAATAGCATTGTACCTTATTAAAGTTTACCAGAATTTCCCTCAGTATTAATGTGGGAGAGAGAAGTTTTCATCTTCTCAAAATAAAGAATATTAGTACTTAAAACCATTTTGCACCAACAAGCATATGAAAAGATGCTCAACATCACTAGTCATTAAGGAAATGCAAATAAAAACCACAATGAGATATCACCTCACATCCATTAGGATGGCTACTATTAAAAAAAAAACATAAAATATTAAGTGTGGGCAAGGATGTGAAGAAATCAGAACCCTTGAGCACTGTTGGTGGGAATATTAAATGGTGCAGCCACTATGCAAAACAGTATGGAGGTTCCTCAAGAAATCAAAATAGAATTACCATATGATCCAGTAATTCAGCTTCTGGGTACAGAGCCAAGAGAATTGAAAACAGGGTCTCAAAGAAATATCTGTTCATCCATGTTCACAGCAGCATTAGTCACAATAGCTAAATGGTGGAAGCAACTCAAGTATCCATCCATGGATGAATGGATAGACAAAATGTAGTATATACAGACAATGGAATATTATTTAGCCTTAAAAAGGAAAGACATTCTGACACA